CATTCCTGTGAAGCTTCCTTAAGTCCTGCCAGATAAAACCCTGTGATTACCAATAGGCACATCAGTGATAAAGATACTACACAACTCTTCAAAACATCAACTATGTCCCCATAAATATATTCTAAAATTGACCAATTACATTTTATAAATGTCAATCATAATGAATTCACAATGAATAGTCCACTTAATAATACATACTGTACCTTAATACAAATTCAAACTGTCAAAATGTCATATGGGAAATCCCATTACTACTGAGCAGGCCCCCCAAACTACATTACCCAGTAGCCACCTGGGCTTGGGTCCTTTAACTAGTGACCTTGCCCTCCTGCTCCCCACAGAATGGTAAATTAAAATATACCCACTCCCTTAATCTCAAAACCCATATTCCAGTTGACCACCTGAAATATGCCACCAACAATAAACTACATTATGTCTATAGACAACGGGCAAGCCCCATTACAGTGTGTATATACACTACATTGCAAAAAGTATTGGGACACCCCTCCAAATCATTAAATTCAGCCGTTCCAATCACTTCCATAGCCACAGGTTTATAAAATCAAGAACCTAGGCATGCAGACTGCTTCTATAAACATTTGTGAAAGAATGGGTCACTCTCAGGAGTTCAGTGAATTCAAGTGTGGTACCGTAATAGAATGCCATCAGTGCAATAAAATTCATGAAATTTCCTCGCTACTAAATATTCCATGGTCAACTGTTAGTAGTATTATAACAAAGTGGAAGCAATTGGGAACAACAGCACAAAGTGGTAGGCCACGTAAAACAGAGTGGGACAAAGCATGCTGAGGCGCATAGTGTACAGGAGTTGCCAACTGTCTGCAGAGTCCATAGCTACGGACCTCCAAACTTCTGGTGTCCTTCGGGTTAGCTCAAGAGCAGTGCATAGAGAACTTCATGGAATGGGTTTCCATGGCCAAGTAGCTGCATCCAAGCCTTACATCACCAACTTTGTGGGAACAGTTTGGGGATGGCCCCTTCCTGTTCTAACATGACCTCACAAATGCTCTCCTGGAAGAATGGTCAAAAATTCCCAAAAACACATACCTTGTGGACAGCCTTCCCAGAAGAGTTGAAGCTGTTATAACTGCAAAGGATCTGCCAACTCCATATAAAAGCCTATGTATAAATACACAGTCATGGCCAAAAGTTTTGAGAATGACACAACTGTGTAGATCTTTTTGTCAGATGTTTCTATGGTATACTGAAGTATAATTACAAACATTTCATAAGTGTCAAAGGCTTTTATTGACAATTATATTTTAATTATAAGTTTATGCAAAGAGTCAGTATTTGCAGTGTTGGCCCTTCTTTTTCCAAGACCTCTGCAATTCGCCCTGGCATGCTGTCAATCAACTTCTGGGCTAAATCCTGACTGATGGCAGCCCATTCTTGCATAATCAATGCTTGGAATTTTTTCGGAATTTGTGGGGTTGTTTTTTTTGTCCACCCACCTCTTGAGGATTGACCACAAAGGTCTGGAGAGTTTCCTGGCCATGGAATGTCGATATTTTGTTCCCCAAGCCGCTTAGTTATCACTTTTTCCATCCTGCTGGAAAAGGCATTGTTCATCACCAAACTGTTCTTGGATGGTTATGAGAAGTTGCTCTCAGATGTTTTGGTACCATTGTTTATTCATGGATGTGTTCTTATGCAAAATTGAGAGTGAGCCCACTCCCTTGGCTGGTCTCAGGATGCTTTACTGCTGGCATGACACAGGACTGATGGTATTGCTCACCTTTTCTCTCTGGATAGTCTTTTTTCCGGATGCCCCAAACAATCGGAAAGGGGACTCATCAGTGAAAATGACTTTACCCAAGTCTTCAGCAGTCTAATCCCTGTACCATATGCAGAATATCAGTCTGTCCTTGATAATTTTCTTGGAGAGAAGTGGCTTCTTTGCTGCCTTTTTTGACACCAGGCCATCCTCCAAAAGTCTTCAACTCACTGTGTGTGCAGATGCACACATACCTGCCTGCTGCCATCCCAGAGCAAGCTCTACACTGGTGGTCCCCCAATCCCGCAGCTGAATCAACTTTAGGAGATGGTCCTGGCACCTGCTGGACATTCTTGGGTGCCCTGAAGCCTTCTTCTCAACAACTGAACCTCTCTCTTTGAAGTTCTTGATGATTCAATAAATGGTTGATTTAGGTGCAATCTTACTAGGAGCAATATCCTTGCCTGCGAAGCCCTTTTTGTACAAAGCAGTGAAGACTGCACATGTTTCCTTGCAGGTAAACATGGTTACAAGAGGAAGAACAATGATTTCAAGCACCACCCTCCTTTTAGAGCATCCAGTCTGCTTTTCTAACTCAGTCAGCATGACAGAGTGATCTCCAGCCTTGTCCTCATCAACACTGTCACCTGTGTTAAAGAGAGAATGAAATGATCTCAACAGGTCCTTTTGTGGCAGGGCTGAAATGCAGCGGAAATGGATTGTTTGGGATTAAGTTCATTTTCATGGCCAAGAGGGACTTTGCAATTAATTGCAATTCATCTGATCAATCTTCATAACAATCTGGAATATATGCAAATTGCCATCATAAAAACTGGCGCAGCAGACTTAAAAATGAGTATTTGTATCATTCTCAAAACTTTTGGCCACGGCTGTGTGTGTGTATGGTATACATACACATGTATGTATACTAATCAATTTTCAATTTGATAAATGGAACATTTACAGTACTTAAGTTAATGACAATTCAGACAACAAAGGGGGGAGGTTCTGATAAGATCAGGGGCAACCAAACTGGGATGGCTTTCCGAAAGTTTCGTAGCGCTAAATAGTTAATTATCTAGTACATAAAATTGATCGTTATTTAGCATGCGTTTCCCAAAACCCTTCATAACTAAAGTAGTTTGCTATTTCATTCATATATTTACGAGTGCTCTGACCCACTCGTTATTTCCTACGTCATTCTTTGAACTTTGGACTGCCGTCCTGCCACAGAGACACAGAGATCAGCCAAAACAGATGACAAAAACACACTGATGCACTTTTAGGGACAATATAATAATGCTGATGATATGATAAGAGGTCAATATTACAATATAAAACTACAAATGTCGACTATAAATTAGCACAAATGGGGCTCATTGTTTTAACAACTGTATGCCATTTCAGTACATAACAGGGTTATGCAGCATTCAGAACTGACTTGAGAATGGCCTTGAAAATGAAATTCAATACATAAATTTGTTGAAAACATGGTGCAGAATCACAATTTGAATATATGGAAGTATAATTAAAATGGAATTCACTTCACATAATTTCATATACATAGTGTAAGTGCAGCTATAACAATACAGCTTAATATTTCAATATAGTGCTGTCCCAAACGATTATTCTTTAAACGATTAGTCTAGCAATTTATTTTTTTTTCGAATTCGACTAATCTAACAACTAATTTTTTTATTTATCTGATGATAAATTTATTAATAAAGCAATTATTTTCAAGTTTCATTTAATTACAATTCACCCCCTCCCACACACACAAATCTGAAATTGTCATTAACATTTCAATTAAAACATTTCTTAAACATTAGAGCATTATTAACAAAGTGATTAAATTAATAATGTTAAATAATTAACATTATTAATTTGACCTTAAATGTTGAAATAGATGCTAAAACATGGAATGTTTTTAAACAATAGCAAAGGTAGCTTATAGTTAAGCTTACTTCAGTGAGAGAGGAACGATTTAGGCTACAGTGTGTAAGAGTAGTCGTAAACGATAATTTGTCTCACTCTTACATGACAGAATAAGTAAACAGAAAATATAAAATGGCTGAAACAGCGTCACTAACGTCAGCTACAGTAGAGGTGCTGAAAAGGTGTCATGACTGAAGTATTCCTAAACTTTGGAAGACCTTTTTTTGCCGCGTGTTTCTCCAGACGCTCTGGAGCTCTGCTGGTAGACGCAGACATGTTGCCTCGTGCGCGGGGGGCGGGAAATTTTGCATGGTTTTGAGGAGATGTCTCAATATTTATGACAGAAGCGGTACATGATTGGCCAGTGCATGCCTTATAATATAGTGCGGCACTGCTGGCACCGGTGATATTAGACAAAACTATATTGGCCTTACAAAATAGTGTGGCACTGCTGGCATTGGCGATATTAGACAAAACTATATCGGAATTCAGTCTATTACTGATATAGTTTTAATGGTGCCAGCAGTGAAACAACTAGCCAGCAAACCATGCCGCAGGTCCAATAAATAAATTATCATAGCTCTCGAGTGGCGAAGAGATCATCAGGTGGACAGTAAAGTTCAGTTATTGCGCGATTCTTAAAAGGCCAGCGTTAACGTGCTCCCGAAGGGATGAAGTACTTTCCCTTACAATACGTTTAGCTTATCACTTAGTGCATTGCAGTTACAAAACACTTACATAGTTTTACACAAGGGTTAGGTCGACACTAATATTCCATGTCGACGCATTTTTATAATTGACATTGTCAATTACATTGAATAATCGTCCCAAGCATGTTAACATAAACAGTGTACACTAAATCCTACCCATACCTTCCCCCCACATGATTACAAACATTTACGGCAGCAAAACGAACCCGTGCTAACCTTTGTTCATGTCTGTGCATGTCACTGTTATTCATAATGAATGCCACATGTGATGAGTTGCCTATAGAATAAATAAACTGTGATTTTGTGTACCATGGTGAAAGAGCATTCATACTAGAGCGGGGCGATAAACTGATAACGATAATTATTGCGATACATTTTTTTATTTCGATATGCCAAATGCTTGGTGACAGTATAATTTAAGACCAACATGCTGCTAGCCACACACTTTGCATCACAAAATTAGGTCACTTTCTCTGTGACTACTTGTCAGGACCGGCAGGGGAGCACAAGCTCAAACACAGCCGTGAAAACGGGGGATTCCTTGAACAAATAACAGAATGCAATAGGGCAGGTAGGCAGAGAACGGACAATACCGTCAAAACAACAGGGCAACTCACCGGGAGAGCAAGTCAAAAGCAACCCGCTCAATAACGGTAATCCAGTGAAATCCAAAACGAAAATCCACAGTAAAATTCAGCCCATGAGAAATCCTGACAGTAATAATCCACAGAGAATTAAGAAAAGTAGAAGAAAGCCAGCTGCGGTGCTTTCCTGTATTGACTAAAATAACCTGCTCATCTTCTGTCTCGGACTTGTGAAATGCAAAATGCTGTTTGGTACACGTGGTGCTTTTGGTTTCCTTTTCGACATACTTTGAGCCCTTTGAACAGAGAGCTCCATCTACTGGGATGAGAAAATATAGCAAAATATTCCATAAACCTCATTTTGGCCAACACTACTGTTGGCAAGTGTTGGCTATATTCTGAAGATAAAGAAAAGTTTATAACTATTGTTACGACCGCGGTAAACGGACAGGCAGGAAGCGGGGAAGGATGAGGCAGGCAGGCGAGAATACGGGATACGAGGGTTTTTTGTGGAATCCACAAGACAGCAACGGACTAACATTAATGACGGATCTGGGGAAACTAACTCAGACGCAGACTAAAACACACAGGACAAGCCAAAAATAACATGCAACAGGTGATCAGGAATTAAAACAAGGTAACAAAGGGGGCGTGGCACACAGGAGGATCGGACGAGCGGGTCATGACAGAACAACCCCCCCCCAGCCCCTGCCCAAAGGCGCGCCTCTGGGGAGGCAACAGAGGAGACAAGACTGGGAAAACAGGACCTGAAAAACAAGAGCAAAAAAAACATCAACGAGGGCCTGGGAACAGAACAGAAACACAGAACAGGCACAGGGCCAACAGCCAAGACAACACCTGACATATGACGGGAAACGCAGACAGGCAAACCAGGAAGGGAGACACAGGGGAACAACAGATGGAACAAAAGGGCCAGGAGTGAACGTGGGAGGCACAGAGGGAAGAGGAGCAGAGACGGGAGGGACAAAGGGACCAGGAGGGAACGGAGGAGACACAGAGGGACGAGGAGCAGAAACAGGAGGGACAAAAACAGAAGGCAGAAAGGCAAAGGGCGGAGGAACAAGGGGAGCCCGAGGGAGCCGCGACAGGCGACGGCGTAGCCACAGCCGGTGAAGGCGCAGCCGACCAGCTCGTCGGAAGAGGGGGAGCCGCAGGTGACCGAAGAGTTGACGTCGGGGAACCCGCAGGCGACCGACGAGGCATCGGAGACGGGACCGAGGAACGTTGACGAGGCGTCGGAAGGGGACCCGCAGGCAACCGCCAAGCCGGAGCCAAAGGACCCACAGGTGCCCCCCGAGCCCCAGCCAAGGCAAGAGAGGGCGAGGCAGGGGGCAGGGCGGGCCCTGCGTCTGTGTCCTCTCCCCTTTTGGGACACTGACAGGCGGGGCTCTTTCCGGGATCGACCTCGCCGGGGCGAGGGCAGAGGAGTCATGAGAAGTCCCCGAGGGGCCCACTCAAGCTCCTTCTCCTCCAAGGAGAAAGGAGCAGTGGTCAAGAGGTCCGGGACCTCCTCGGGGACATGGACTGGGGTCACGGGCACCGGGACAGGAGTCACAGGGGTCTCAGGTGCTGCAGGGGGCAGAGCAGCAGTTGGAGGAGCTGGGACCTCAGGTGCGAGCGGAGGTGGGGCCGTAGCAGGCGCCTCGGGTGCAGCCGGAGGAGGGGCCGGCGCAGGAGCCCCGGGGGTAACTGCAGGCGGAGGTGGAGCCACAGCAGAAGCCTCAGGTGGAGCAACAGGCGGAGCAACAGGTGCAGGAGCCCCGGGGGTAGCTGCAGGCGGAGGTGGAGCCACAGCCGCAGCTGCAGCAGAAGCCTCAGGTGGAGCAACAGGCGCAGGAGCCCCGGGGGTAGCTGCAGGTGGAGGTGGAGTCACAGCCGCAGCCGAAGCCTCAGGTGGAGCAACAGGCGGCACCAGGACCTCAGGCACGGGTGGAGCTGCAGGGAGCTCAGGCGGTGCAGCAGTAACTACCGACTCAGGTCCAGCAGGGGGCGCCGCAGCGACTGCCGACTCGAGTCCAGCAGGGGGCACCGCAGCGACCGTCAATTCGGGTCCAGGGGGGGGCACCACAGTGACCACCAACTCGGGTTCAGCAGCGGGCACCGCAGCCGGAGCCTTGCTGGGCGGTGCGGTAGCCGGAGGAACAGGCAGATCAGGCACGTCGGGCGCTGGTGGGACAGGCAAGACAGGAACGATGGGCAGGTCAGGAAAGACGGGCAGGTCAAGAACATCATGTGCCAGTGGAACAGGCAGGTCAAGCATGGGAGCCATGGGTTGGTGCCTCATAAGCAGGCCTTGCCCCTTTAAGAGCCCGCGGGATACCGTCCCACACTGGCCTGGACCCTTTAAGAGCCAGATGCATTCCCCGGAAGGGGGAAGCTGCCCAAGAAGGCAACTTTGCAGCGGGGGTGCTGTCTGGGGTGATGGGGGATTCCCCCCAATCACTGGTAAGGAGCAAAGCGGGAGAGAGAGAGCAGGCCCCTGGGACGACCGTCGGGGTGGCTTCCTGATTCTTCTCCCTAAGCTTCTTCCTTCTCCGGAGGGTAGTTGTTGGCGGAGGTTGCTCCGTCTCCTGGAGGATGAATGGCGGGTATGCAAAGAGAGTCCTTCTCTCCGCTACGCGCTGCACTAGCAGCTGAAGATTTTCGTGCACCTCGGCCATTAGGTGCACGTTCCTGGGCGGGGACATCTCTTCCAGGAGGGTCCCACTCCGGCTGGCTAAACCCGCAGCTACAGAGTCCTCCCGGACCTCGGGCTGATTCAGCCAGAATATCACCTCTTGCAGCAAGCCGATCCGCTGGCTCTCGGCTTGCTGCGGTGAGTCGTCTTGGAGATCCGTCATTCTGTTACGATCACAGTAAAAGGACAGGCAGGAAGCAGGGAAGGATGAGGCAGGCAGGCGAGAATGCGGGATATGAGGGTTTATTGGGGAAACCACAGGACAGCGACGAACTAACATTAATGACAGATCTGGGGAAACTAACTCAGACGCAGACTAAAATACACAGGACAAGCCGAAAATAACAGGCAACAGGTGATCACAATCAGGAATTAACACAAGGTAACAAGGGGGGCATGGCACACAGGAGGATCAGACGAGCGGGACATGACAACTATGATTAACCATCTTTTTGAAGCATGTGGGAGTGGTATTTTAAGGCTTAAACTATAAAAAAGTTTATGTATATGGTCTTTCTATATCGCGGATTTTCACCTATCGCTAATGGGTCTGGAACGTAACTTCCGCGATAGGCGGGGGATCCAGACCCAGCAGCGATAGGTGAAAATCCGCGATATAGAAAGACCATATACATAAACTAGAATTGCAATTCTGTGTTATTAATAATCATATACATCAGAACTGTAATACGTAATACACCTTACATATGCCATGAGGTACCAAACTGTTTAATAAAAGCTGGATGGGAAAAAAAAACATTGGACACAAGGAATCAAATGTTTATTTTTTTCAGATAAGAGATACCAGCCTAAAAAAACTAAACAAAAGAAACCAATAAAAACATTGTGATATAATTTAAAACCTCTGATTTTTAGCTGTACGTTTACCGAGTCACGCCTTTCAGCGGAGAAGCAGCACAGACGCAGTGAGATTGGGTGAACGAGGGTTTATTAGAAGGGAGACAAAACAGGAACATCGAAGAAGCGCAAGACGGACGTTAATGACCGGACTGGGGAAAACATACCTAACGCAGACTTAAATACATTAGACTAATGAAAACAACTAGAAACAGCTGATAAACACGGGGATTCCACTCGGGGTTAACGAGGGGGCATGGCACACGGGAAGAGCGGACAAGCGGGGCAGGACTTTTAATCAGATTTTTTAGATTCCCTAAGCAATTTTTATTCAAATAAGTTTTTCTTCATCTCTATTTTGCTTTTTTTTGTCTTGGTTTAACTTTTTAAAATCTTGTTTTTATAAAGCACATTAAATAACCCCTGTGTATGATAAAAACTTGCCTTGCCTTACTATAAGGAGACCGAGAAATGTTCTCCTCAAGACCACACGAACAACTAAGAACTATATGCTGGAAACTAAGACATTCACAAGGTAACTCCATGAAAAGCTCTGTAAAAGTAGAAATGTGTTTATTTTATAAGATAATGTGAGCCAACTGGCTAATAGTTGCCTTTTAACTGAAAAAAATCACTCCAGTCATCAGAGAAAAAAAATTACTAATGCACTACATCAAAACATTTACATTATTTCATGCCATACATTATTGCAAACTTGTAACTATATCATTCAGTAATACAAATAATAAAACAACATACCGTTCACATTGGCCTCAAGAACTAAGTTAGCGCTTGATTCCCCGGCACTTCCTGCTGTGGCTGAGTGTGCACCTGACGTCAGTGGCTGAGAGTGCACGTTCTGCAGCTAGACCCTTCTCTTCTTCTGTTTGCCTAGCTGCGGTGATCACGCAATGGGATTTGTAGTTTTATTACCACGCAGACACCGGTGCAGACCAGAAAACACAACCAACGGATTAGTTTTACAGCGATTTACTATTTTATTTTCTGCAGACAACGCTTTTTGGGAATGAACGGAGGTAAGAATTTTAAGACTTGGGTAAATTAAATTTAAGACCTAGGATGAAAATCTGGGCATATTAAAGATATTTTAAGGCCTTAAATTTAACTTTATGAATTTTAGAATTAAGACTTTTTAAGACCCCGCGGGAACCCTGAAAAATCATCCTTTAAAATTACAACATTTGTCGTGATAATTATTTATATCAGCCAATATGATTTTTTTTTATCATGATAACATTTTTCACATCACCCAGCTCTACTTCATACAGTGATAAAAGTAGCCCTATCACAACCCTCTCCATCTGACAACCCACAAACATGCACAAGAAAAGCTACTGCATGTAGACTCCTCACAAATGGTAACAAACATAAACAGTTAAATATGCAAAAACAATAAATATGCACATGAAAAAGAACTCAGAAGACTGACAGAAAACAAATGCATATTGTTAGAATAGGCTAAAACAATTACACAATTTTAAGTTACAATCATGCATATATAAAGTTACTCACAGGTACATATATAAGGTCAATATATACATCTACCATCTTGGAAGTAAATCTGGTATGTAATTATTAATATTTTGCTAAATTAAATGGCATTCATGTATATGATTGCATTGAATTGATTTGAATTAAATTCTTCTTACTATCTTTCCAATTCAACATCTTACAAGGTGTGGCCAAGTCAATTCAAAATCCCATCTCTTTCAGCTTAGGCCGCAACAGCAACTCGATTCCCAAGCAACTTCTGCCATACATTTTTAAGAGACAACAAAAAATTATAAACCAGAATATATTATAAGACTAAAAGACTAGATGAACAAATCGATTAAATAAAGTTGTAGATATTTTTAAGACAACATTGTCTAACATTATAATTGTCTAACATTATAATTAACCGATTAGACAATTTTTAATATCAAT